ATAATGACCGATAGTGCATCACTTGAAGCAATATTCTTTGATCCGAAGCATACTACATTACTCTGTGAAGTTTTTCTTCCATTTCCCTCAGAAGAAATCATGACATCAGTCTGGAACCTTTTTGAAAGTGTGCACGGAGTAGGTTACGATTCATGAACGCAACTGGATAGCTAAAACAATATGAAATGCAGTGAATGTGATTCATTTTAATGGATGGGAAAGATCTGGTAGGTCAGGCTACCGGAGTAATGCGTTGGTCGGTTTAATGCATGTGATACTTTTTGTCTTGCCATTAGCGAAGTGGTTAGTTATTGATTGACAGTAGTTGTTTGAAGAAGAAGATGACACACGACCAACGTTGAAAACTTATTTTGTTTCGTTGATTTGGGTAAAAGCATGAATGTGCGTATCAGCAAACAGACTGGGTTAGAAAGGGTTGTCCTCTTGGATCATTGAGGGTAGACTTATTTAGTGTCAAAAAAGTGAGTAGAATAAACGCCAAGTAAAGTAGATTTGTACCACCGTCACAAGAGATATGAATATAAAAAAATTGCTGAGGGGATTTAATATTACTCAGAGAATGATGAGACTCACATATAGATTTACCGTTTCATTTCGCTCCAAAATAGCTTGCTTAATACAAAAGAAAATAGATGGCTTAAACGATTACCATACATAAAGTATACACGTAGACTTGTTCCACTATAATTGGAGACAAATGTTAGTAAACGTTCAATCAACACCTACAACAAAACATGTTTTCAATGAATAATTAAATCAGAAGTAACGGAAAGATTGAGAAATGTGTCAACAGGAAATTATTAAGTTCATAAAAAAGAAATTGACAGACGAAAACCCACAAACAGTTGAACAAAAAATTTCCAAGACGCTATAATTTATCTTCTTTTAGTTAAAGAGGGTTAACATTTAGTGAAATGTTAACGAACTGTCTAAGAAAAGATGGGAAACAACTTTTTCCATTTATTATGTTTGAGATTCTCTTGACGGGTATAAACACTCTTTGGTCGAATAAACGCCTACCATTATGATTATATGAATAAAAGGGGGAAGGAAACATGCAAGATAACTAAACAGGTGCATTAAGACATTGTATCTGAATAAGGCATTCAGAGGATGTAGTTTCTCTACAAGGGTGACCAACTCATGCAGCTGACATCTAAATGCCTCTGGTCAATTATCAAGAGTACATTCTACTCCATATCACTTTTCCTTACCTCTGGAATATTTTCAATTCCTATGCTTACGATTGAAGGACGAAATTATTTGGATTTTAATTCACACTACAATTATAAGTTTACCTGCATCTGTAGTTACACGTAAAGGTTGAACCAATATAATGTTCCAATGCCAGGATGACAATGTTTCTTAGTGGTTATTAGGTCACCTAGGAAATCTAGATAAATCTGTTTCGAGCAGAAGTCTGACCTCAGTCATTGGAAAGTATTTTTTTTATACGTGATTACAAAATCGATATTAATGACTGTTTCTCAATTATTTCATTTCATTATTTATTCTTGGTTTATATGGCTGACTGAAGTAACTTAAATCAATCCTCTGAGTCTCACATTATGTGAACAGAAAACGAAAAAATTCACTCTTTATATCCCCTAGACTACACTAACTAATAAGATACGACTGGTTATTAATATGGACTTATATCTGATTAACTGTCAGATCGTGTGTTTTGTGGTTGTGATGCCTACTAGCTGTAAAGCGATTGTAGAGAAACCACTAAATGATATCGTCTCGCGATAAGTGTATGATGAATGTTTTAAAAGGGAATAACCTTTTTCGACAGTTTATTTAGTTAAGTGAAAGACAATTTAAACTAATCCATCAAAATTCATGTTTGCTTCCACGCGAGTTATATCTTTCTTCAGACGTCTGATGTAATTATCACATGAAATATGAGACTAGAATTCTGCGTATAGAAAACATTTGTTCACACACTCACTTTTGATCTTGTAATAACTATGTGATATGGTTATCTGCAACATTTGCGGGTTTTATGCACCCATAATAGTTGAGCACTACTCATTCCTCATGTCATTATTTTAAAATACTTCAGAGGAAATATATTTTCTACTTGTGTCATTCGTTTAGTAAATTGCAAATATTTAAAATTTCACTGTTGGTTTTCTAGATGCTGTTGTTTATATTGCCCTCAGTAACCTACTAGTTATCATATATTGTGAATCTTTACAAGTGACTCTGTTGTTGTCATTAAAAAACGAATTAGGTATAAATATCTCTTATGTTAATACTGGTTAGCTTTTCTACACTTATCCCTAAGGCTTCTCTTATGAACGGCGAATATAGTCATAAAAAGCTCAACAGAGTATGGGAAACATGCTTTTTCAGACAGCCCAACTATTCTTCATTTGAAGTCTTTTAATAACCGGATTGGATACAGCTGTGCTGTCCACACAATTGATAGTCTCTCTAGCTAACCGTAGTAGTCAATTTTCATTCACATTCATTAATGAAGCTTTTGAATGCAGCTGATGCAAATAGTACTATACAGACAAATAAGCATATAAATACACACCATGAGGTGCATTGAGATGACTGGTTAGGTTTTGAAATTGACGATCAGATCGGCTGAATTAATTAAACTTCAGGAGAGATATATTTAGTCGACCGAACGAATCACAAGCATGCACACATATTCCTATTCATAAATAAAACAACGTCGTTTTGGACTTCATTTTTTGGTTTCATCACTGTTCTGCTCATACTGACTTCAATGAACAACTAACGCCAGATCGATTGTTATTACGCTGTAGCGGTAAATAATTCCCCAAAATTATTGACCACAGCAATCACTCATTGGATGCTGACCACTACTGTTTAAGTCAACTTGTTTAGCTGAAGGCTTCCGGTTAAGCATCCCGCTATTTGGTACCCCGTCGTGTCATGTGCACGATCACTAGCTAGCTAAGCGTTCGTCTGAAGGCTTGTTTTGGTCCCGAAATATATCACGAAGTTTGGACGATCAATTATTGGCTTTTGCTTTGTTTTCGGTACGCGAGAATAATTTAGAGGCTGTGTAAGATAATTCCATCGAAACCTCTAAAACGCCTAACTGTGCTGAATGTGATTAACCTAAATGTGATGTATTCTGCGTGCTCTATCATTTAATCATATTCTGAAAAGCAAGCGCATCATTGAGTGAAAAAGTTGATTTGTGAATATATGGTCAAAATTAACCCAGTTCAGTGGAATCACCTATTCATTTCTCTAAACTTATTTTTTGGGTAAAATATAACATTCGATAGTAAAACAAAGTTTACTGAATTAAAATTATTACTTTCAATAATCCTCATATTATACGTGAACTAATTAAGCAGTGCTTATCGAAACCAAGAAGGTGTCCGTAATGACAGACAATTGAAGACACGTGTAAATCGATAACAACAACAACAACACAAATAAACAAATATTCTGAGAAAACTTTTGTGAAACCTCTAGACGGTATAGCCTTATTATAATTGCGTCTTACTCCTTCTAACTTCTTGTCTATCGTGAGACATGATTTGATGCCATTATTAAAAATAAAGAATTCGGAATAACTTACACTACACTACAGACTTCACTAGCTAGGTGAGATCACCCTCCTAAATTCCCCAAAACCGCGCTAATGAATAAGCTCTGTCAAAAATAAACATGTTTAAACCTTAATCAATCTTTAATCATTTATATATATATATATATATATATATATATATATATATATATATATGATTAACCCAAAGACATGGCGGCGAGTTTTACACTTTATATTCATATAACCAAGATATTTCTATGTAAACTGTAAATACTCTCAGCAGCTTAAAAATATTCCATCATATGTTGTGTCATTAGTATCTTTTGCGTTTAGCACAAATGCTTCGTCACATTCCTTGATTTTTCCCTGGATCCTTTTTTCATCTAAGTGTCAAGCGTATTTGAAAGTCATTGTACTGATTTGGTTAGATGGAACAAATGCGTATAGTTAGTTAACTAAAGAAAGTAATCCAGACCATGACTCTCAGACAACCCTTAATTTTACATGTAGATTATAAGTTACTTTTCGATTATCAAATTTTGCGACAACACTAGTGATATTCTTTAAGTGGCTTGCATTCACTTGTCGTCTACAAATTTAGCCTTCGCTTTGCTTAAGATGCTTTATTCCTTTCTGAACAAAATTCACTCCGAATTAGACCACAAACTGAATTCAGATAGAGAAACCATGAACAGCTACTTCGGGACTCTTTTTAACAACATGCACACATGAACCCACAGGGATTCAGACCCAGGACCTTCAGTTTATGAGTTTATCCAGCTAGCCATTCAGCCACTGATGGAGTTCTCAAACTCTACATAGTAGTCCATCCTGGAGTCAATCTCAAATGAGCACTATGACCTGAAGGGGTCGATCTTTGGTGGGGTTATCAATACTTGCTACTGAAGTCTGCCAGACTAGGATGAAACAGCTGTCCAGTACACCTCTTGTTTCAAGTGTCTGTAGAACTGAAGTCAGTTCTTGATTTGACGTGAAATCAATCAAATACCTCGAAACTATCACTTGAAAATATTCCCTTGTATTTCGTATAACTACTTTTTGTTAAATGTTCCTTCCTCTTATTAACAAGATTTAGTCTTTGACTTCTGGTATATTAGCCTAATTTTCAAATAATGAAAAATCTATATTTCCCCATGTAAATACGCTCTTAATAGAAAGACCATATTAATACACTGCAGTGAAATACTGAATCCCATACTCACACATACTTTTATCCAACATTACCATCAAATATATGTCTGCTATATCTTCTGCTTGACAGTATTGCTACTGAACTTTCTAATTTCCATTCGTCTGTTTTCGGCGATTGTATTCTTCTTTGCTGAAGTATTTTATGTATTATATGGGACCGAAGCAACCATACACCCAATTATAATCTTTATTTGTTTTATTATTTGTGAATTTCTGCACATCAAGTTTATTGAGGTTTAATTAATGTTAACGTAGATTTCTTCACACCTTGATATGAGCCAGAAAACCTTTTCCAAACAAAAGGAACTGGAAATTCATTTAGTCCCATTTTGATTCTCTTGTGCGATGGGCATTATATATCCTCAAAAGCAATGAAACTAGGCTGACTAATTTATAATGTGAATATGTTACGAATCAGCAGTGGGAAATGAAATCAATTATGCATGGATTACATCTTCTGCTCAGTAGTTCTGTAAATGAAGTAGGTTCATGACGAAATCTGCTTCAGAATCAGTTCTATCAACACAGATCTAACATTTAGTTTTTATACTTATTTTATAATTGAATGCAGACGTTAGATTTCGCAAACACTATTTCCAATGAACTATTTGCAGTATATCACATGATTTGCTCAACTACGCGATGATTTTAAAGAGTTTTCTTGCATTATATCTCCATCACTACTGGTGAATATTACGGATAACTGGCAGTGTACTGACATCTTGAACGAAGTATCAATAAGCGCCAAACAACGACAAAGAATTTGTCTAGTGGTATAGTTGTGCTTTCTGAACTGGATCGTTTACTTGTGAAGTTTTCAGAGAATACAACTGCATCAAAATGATCTACTTGAACTATAAATCTTCACTGTATTTAAATTTGTCTGCTGTTTCGTGCATTATAACGACACTCTAACCGACGTCAGTTCATGGCGCAGTTTGCATTCACATGTGAATTTATTCCATCTTTTGTACAGTGAAAAATTTCAACAGGATTACAAAATAATTTATCGTAATGTCAGGAAAACTGTTTTTGTAGTAATACAATTCTTTGATTTAAATTTATCAAATTAATTTAACAAGAAAAACGAGCAAATCTATGTATGAAATTATTACACGTCATGAAAGTAATTGTAATAAATTGAAGTTCTGCGTTAATATGACATTGTTTTATTTCACATCTCAGAAGTTCATTGTTTGTGTAGATGATTGCAATGACCACCTAAAAAGTGATTCGATAAAAAGAAACTAGAAAAACACAAATAATTATTCAGTGAAGAAAATTCTCTTTTCGACAATTTCATTTTCATAGCTGCATATATATGTATATATATATATATATATGAATTACAATAGACAATAACAATCGGTTTTCTTGTGTGTGTGTGTGTTAAAGAAACATTGTACGGAGAAGACATATATTCAGCGAACGTTCACCTGAGATTCGTGTACAATTTGAAGACCATGTTGGTGTGATTAGAAAGAGCAGATGCGACAGTGTCAATCTCAAATTGAAGAATCTACTAAACCAAACTGAATCAAGTTCGAAATTTTGCGAAATGCCCTGGAAAATAAGTATTTAACTACTCCTCGATTAATTTGGGTAGTACGCAGATGGAAATATTATCATATGGCTCGAAATTCTGTATCATTCAATCTGATAAAAAGACACTGCATGGTGATGAGCAGTTTGAAAATCAAATCAATCAGACAAATGATCTGACAGAGAATTCACCAGAAGACCTAAAATATTTCAGTTTATCAGTGCTAAACTGTGCTCATCAGTTCATGAAATCAAAACCGAAACTGCCCCAACATCTCACGAAGGAACATTTCATTCAATTAAAGCAGCTGAAGAAAAATGGGAATATCCTGTTAACACAATCAGATAAGGGTGAAGGGATTGTATTAATGGATCGGAGAGATTATAATGACAGAATGCAAAGCATCCTGTTAGATGAGACAAAATTTCGGAAACCTGAACGTGAGAAGAACAAGACAGAAATGATAGAGGAACAAATCACACAGGTTCTGAAACGTATGAAGAATGATTCGTCATTGACAACCGAGCTATATGAAAGGTTAAGACGTTCTGGATGAAGCATTCCTCGACTGCATAGCCTACCGAAAATACATAAATCTGGATTGCCTATGCGTCCCATTTTAGACGTGACAGGTTCACCGTATCATTATGTCGCAAAATGGATAGCAGAACTCTCGGAACAATTAAGAAGGCAAGTATGTACCTATTCTTTATATGACACTTTTGAATTTGTTAATTCCGTTAATGACATTATTGTTACTGGGAAAACTATGTTATCACTGGATGTATACTCGCTTTTTAACTGTATGTTTCATTTGTAATTACATAGACTTACATAATGTAAACGTAGGAATTCCCACATCATACCTAAAACAGCTAATAATTCTATGTATTCTCGATATCCAATTCATTTTTAACAATGAAATCTACAGAGAGAGAGTTGGAGTAGGTATGGGCTGGCCACTTAGTCCGTTGCTAGCAGACTTCTTTTTGGCTATTATGGAGAGCGGTACTCTCACACCTGCTATAAAGGGACTTAACTTCCACAAAAGATACGTGGATGACACGTTCACTATATGCGACGAGAACTGCGACTTGAATGGAATCCTTAAAGTATTCAGTGACAGTTATCCTGCTATCAAGTTTACCTTAGAAAAGGTAACCAAAAGAGAAATATCTTTCTTGATGTGCTACTCACAAGGAGAGCTGACGGGTCTTTGAAAAGATCTGTTTACAGAAAATCGATGTGGAAAGGACAACTGACCAGTTTTTACAATTTTATCCCCATAGACAGAAAAAAGGTATCTAATCCATTCTGTCTCAGCTTGGGTGCAGAGAATTTGTAGTGAAGAGAGTGTTGATAATGAACTCAAACAACTAAAAGAACTCTACACAGAGAAAGGGTATCCACTACGCTTGGTAGACGCCAATAGCAAACAAAATACGTACGAGAAATACAGAGATTGATAAGGTAGTTAAAACCGTGTTGCCCCTACACTTAGAATTCAGGGGTGACACTGTGAGAGAAATACTTAAAAATCGTCTGGCCAGATCACTGAGGAAAACATTCTTTGCTGCCACTTGACGAATAACCTACTCAAGCCATCCACTGGTGCACCTTAATGTCAAGGAAATGTTACCTTGATTGTCTAATTCCACGTGTATTTATATGTTCACCTGCTCTTTTGAAGCCAGGTACACAGGACTTTCGTCGAGAAACATTTCCCGCCGTGTTCGAGAGCACCTCCCAGTCTAGCTAAGCAAAGGAGAACGTAGAGGTATTAATTCACCCATATGGCGGCATATTGTAGATACTGACCACGCAACATATGAAACATCGTTTAATATAGTCTGCAAAGTCTGAAAAAGTTTGCCGAAAGGGATACGAGTTCATCTGCTTTTTATAGCAGAGGCTTTATTATTAATATATTATTGTTTTCTTTAGTTCCTAGAGCAACGTAAGGCTTCATTTGCACGCCTCCAGTTCTCTGCCAACATTTTCACCTGGCTCCACGTCTGCCCATATGCTTTCATCTCTTCTTCACGTGACTTCCTCCATGTCACCCTTGGACGACCAACTCACAGGTTCTCGTTCGGGTTCTGCTCGAGCGATGGCCTGTCATGTGATGTCACCCACTTGATGGTTTTCGCAGAGTATGGCCAATCCACCTCCATTTCTTCCTGCATATTTGTCGCACAATTGGTTCATCGTTGGTTTGTTCCGAGAGACCCCTCCCTGTTGCTGATCTTTTCTGGCCAGCCATCTGATCTTAAGTGAAGTACTGAGCGAAGACATCTGTTGATGAAGGTGTGTAGTTTGTTCGAAGTGCTCTTCATGATGTGCCAAGCCTCTGATCCATAAGGTAGCACTGATTTCACATTGGATTTAGAAATCCGGATCTTATTTTTCATGTTGAGTGCTGTTGACCTCCACGCAGACTTGAGAGTAATGAAAGCTTGCCTTGTTTTCCCGATCCTCGTTTTGGTATCCTCATCAGTTCGGCCTGTTCAAGTGTTGGTTTGTAGGGATTTGATTGGTTTCAGGATTTCATCATGAGCTGACATTAGTTAGAGAACCATTGGAAAACCTGGGAGTACTGGATAGCTGTTTCGTCCTAGTTTGGGACTCTTCATCAGTACGCACCCACCGGGATTCGCCTGTACTTGAAACGATGCTTCCCAGTTAGGTGGGTAGGTAAAGGAGGTTACTTATTTCAGATTTCCCCCATTTATGCTGACTGTTATCTGTTGTTGCTGCTGTTGTTGTTGGCCAGGAATCTTCATCACCTCTGTTCTATCTATGTTCACTTGAAGTCCTATCTTTGATGCTTCTTCTGCCAACTTGTAGCTTTTCCCTTGCATATCTTCCAGTGTGTGGGAAATCAGACATATATCATCGGCGAAATCCAGATCCTCCAAGTTTTTTGTGTGAGTCCATTTTATGCCTGTCTCCTCATTGCCCATTGTCCGTCAGTCGCATTATCCAATCTACCGCAATCAGGAAAATCAATGGAGATAGTAGGATGCCAACCAGCCAGCTTGTCTTACTCCCCCCTGTGGATTGCGCGGTTCGCAGCATTGTTGCACAACTGGTGGATGGCATGTATAATTGTTGGTGGAACCCAGTAGTAGCGAAGTGGTTTCCAAATCCCCTCTCGATTGACGCTGCACTATCGAAGGCCTTTTCAAAGTCAATGAAGTTGAGATAGAGAACTGACTGACTACCATTCCAAGCTCTGTTCAGCGATAATCCATAATGTTGCGATTTGATTGATGCATGACTTGTTTCTCCTGAATCCAGCTTGTTCCGTTCGAAGTTTTTCATCCAGGAAGTGTTTGTTTCTTTCCAGGATGATGCGGCTTAGTGTTTTGCTTGAGATAGACAGGAGCATAATTCCGCGCCAGTTCTTGCATTGACTTAAGTTCCCTTTCTTTGGCAGTTCGAATAAATAGCCTTTCCATACCTTCTCCAGTAGTGATGTCATCAGGTCCGCTGATGTCTCGAGGTTCGTTTTCAGTGCTTCTGCTGGGATTCCATCTGATCCTGCTGCTTTTCCAGTTTTCAATATCTTTATCGCCTTCTGGACTGCTGTTCTCGTCGGGGGGTTGATGTTCACTGGTAGTTATGCTTCCATTGTTGTTATTATTGTAAATTATTTGTAAATTAGTAATAAACTGGTATTTTATGAGTCGAATTCATAAATTTATGAGAAGGTGTTGTTGATAATCATATTTCACGGAAAATTTACAAAAGGGTGGAAAAGCTTTAAAGGAAAAATAGTACTTACTGACTGATCTATACTTCATGCATAACAACAGATCGATTACGGACGAATAATTGAAATGTCTTGTTTTTCATATCCGCTTCTGTCAAACTTCTAAGAATGTACTGCTGTGGTTTATGTAAGTTAGGATTCACACTTTTATGAACCAGAGATACTAAAGATGAAGACAAGAAAAATGGTATGAGAAGTATCACACTTATCAATGCAGTTAGTGAATTTCAAGGATATAAGCGCAATACCTCATAATCATCAGACTGAATCTTTGTGATTGATAATTGTGTCCCCCTGATAAATACAAATTTTCCGTTCTTAATCTTACTCCAATTTTTTCATTATGCAAAACTCTGCCCTGGTATAAATTCAATCCTCACATAGAAAAAATCAATTAGCATTTACGTGTGGCATATTCTGGCTAAGCCGTATAAGTAGCCAGTGATTTTAAGTAAAGCTGTCCTAAGGTTAAAGAAGAAGTGTTTACTAAGTCGATAAACCCCATGAATTCACTAGGGTAAAGGAAACTGTAAAGTGACAGTAAGCTATTACAGATTTTTAAACTCATGATACCTGAAAGATATCCTTTGAAATCAATATTCTCTTTTGTCATTCAATGTCTGCAAAATAGTGATACTTGATTCAATGTCTAATTAAGCAAAAATCTCCATACTGTTTATGATAAGCCCATCAAACACCCTTTACCTCTGGCTTTAATGCCTCGAACGATGAGTTGGGTTTGGGTCTCTACAAAACATCATCACGTATTGGTGTGCAGATACACCCGGATGATAAGTCCCAGATAGAATGAAACGATCTTCTTGAATCCACCGATAAACTTCACGAAATATATAGCACCCTGACCTATCTTGTCAACGGTTATCAAAATATGAAGTTGGACGATTACTGGAAATTGGCAGTGAATGCTGAAACTTGGTCTTTATATTTATCGGGACACATTGGTAAGGCGTATTTTCAATTTCCATGTAATTAGTGCTCTCCGGGATGTAAAAATCAACTTTGACTAGATGTGTAGTCAGAAACTTCGACAATTAGCTATATCAGTCATATGTCATTACTTTATGATAGTCTACTTATTTATATAACCTGTATTTTTATGATACCGATTCGAATTCAGATGATGCCATAAGTTGATCAGTCTTCCACAACTTGCCTTTCAGAGTGACATGTAATGCCGCCTAGGTCATGGTCGTAAGATAATTCGTATCAATTAAACGATTAATAAATCTTCAATGTAACACAGATACTTAACAAGTGAAACAGTATGAACATATTTTCGATTATTAGTATATTATATATTATATTAACATATTAGATTATTATATATTATTAAACATAAAACTTGGGCACTGTGGTAGAGTATAATTGCATTATAAGATTTTATTTTGATCAGTCACACAGTGTTATACAGTAATATGAACTGATGACGTTTCGAGCTCAAACTATTGCTCATAATTATATCAAGTCACTAGTTTGTGCTCGGAACGTGGTCATCAGTTAATATTATTGTATAACACTGTGTGATTGATCAAAATAAAATCTTATATATAAATGAGTCAGATTTCCGATCAATTTAGTATTCTGTTTCATTGATAATTGCTGTCTGTGGGACACCCAGGATTCATATTTCGTCTCATTTATAACTCGTCAGCTGCATAAAGCCGCATCAATAGAAACTTGTAAATAACTTCAACAAATATCATTTTAGTATCTTATTATTATCTACTGATAAATCAGTTTCATGATTTCATACAACAGAAAATAAAAACAAAGCGGAGAAATAATTTGTGACACCAAGTCGCTTATTTGTTTAATCCTTGGAAAACAAATAACTTCATGTCTACTTGTTGGCATATGGTTTATTTATCTTAGGCTGCCGCCTCTATTATCAAGTCTCATGAAGTAAAAATAGGACAAAAATGAGTTAAGAGGCTAGAATGTGTTGTTATTTCGTTATTCTATTATTCAAAGTAACTGTGATCTACATTCAAATAAAATCAGTCAAACTAACTTGTTATTTCCCATCTTCTATCTACATCATTTTGAAATTCACACGGGCATACTAAATTAGTGAAATAAATAAAAAATTGAACAAAGTTCAAATCTAGTTCTACTACTTTTATATCAAAATAAGTTTTTACACATGGATTTAAAAAAGCAATATTTTTGAATGCATAAAATAAGTAAATAACACTACTTTCTATTTTAATATATCAGTATCAAGTTTAAAGTGCTTTTTCTCCAGACAACAATGTTAAAAGTCGAGATTTCTACTATTACTTTTGCTACCGAAAGTGAACAAGTTAAAAACTCATAAGATAAATGTCTTTTAGATGGATGCAGCTAAGATCCAAGTCATTTTTCGAACACAGCTTTGACTTTTACAGGGAAATGCTAGGAAAAATCCTATTTTTGACTTTTTAAACACATTGAGTTCATGTCAGATCATCTTATCATGATTCGATCACACTTAGTGTTCATATCAATTTAATAAATTTCATAATACCCATGACTGGATTTATTCCTTGCCTTTTAATCTTTTCTGTCAATGAACTTGTTGTAATACATGAATTGATTCAATTATTTAAGAATAGCATAAAGCAGGTATCTATCTACTTTTATTGTTTTGCAGTAATCAGCAGTTTTACCGATTAGAAATGGTATGCCTTTAAGGTGTATTTTGATGATTATCAATCTTTCCTGGGCTTCCATCATATTAACATCGACTTTTGAAATTGAAATGGATAAATTCCTAGTATTTATGAGTCGTAATCTTTTTGAATACTGCTTTTGGTCTTTGTATTTGAATAGCTATCACCTCATGGACAGATTTTATTTCGAAAGGCTTACTAATAATAAGAATTAGTTAGCATTTATATCTGTCATTCAGAATTCAAGTTATTCCAACCCGTTTGCTTCGAATATATGACATCTTTCCAAAATTATATAGTTAATTTTAAAGAATAATAAATACATTGTTCAGTTTTGTTTTCAAAATCAATAATCTGTTCACTTATTACTCAGTAATACAGACTACCGTGTGATAAATTACGTTTCTACGATGCACTTCTAAGCCTTACTTATCTGGTGGAAGATTGTCTGTGAGGTAAGCAATCTCACCTCGTAAAAAATATTTTTAAAAACCACTGCTTCTGAAACTTGAAAGTTCAAGCTTTTAGTCCTATGTTGCACTCAAACTCAAAGCAACGGAAAAACAATACGATTTTATATTGTTACTGGTAACACTCCTGTTAATATTATTGCTACTACTAAGACTTTTAGTAAAGAAGACATTGTGCCACTCTGATAATGATTCACTAATCCAACTTCTTGTAGGTATACAATTCTGCTGACAGTTTTTTATTCACAGCATTTGGCATTTAACAGCTAGTAGTGCACAAATTGTTACTGTGTTCTATGGTATCATGTTAATTCCTATATAACTGAAATAACATCACAGGAAATCTATAAAAGTAATTTTCATTCCTAGAAAACGTCATTTTAATGTAGCTTATTATGCACTTTTTAAAGTCTAATGCAAAAGAGTATTTTATTTTGACTTATTCCGCTAAAATCAAGTCGAAAAAGTCAGTCTACAAAGAATGTAGTTAATTGACAGCGACTTATAGAAATGTATCGATATTTTATTGTACATTTTCTAGTATCTAAATAATTTAAGCAGGTTCATTTTACAAAGAGCAAATCACGCTTGATAATTATAAGAATGATAATAAAAATTTACTTTTTGATCGCGCTGACGGTGTTAGAACCGATACCCATTGGCTGCTAGCTGTAGAAATTCCGTTTTGGTAAACCCCATGTACTCGATAGGAATAATTAGCATTTTCATATGAATAATGAATGATATTGTTAAGATGCCAGGTTGCATTACTAGTTTCCATTAGTATAACTCCATCTCTTTCTACACTCTGGTCAATTACATAGTGACTAAGACATTTATTGAATTTCATAGGAGGACTATTCCAGCTGATTACATGAACTGGAATCTTTGGTATGGACTTCACTCTTAAACCATCCAATATCCCCAATACTGAATCATCTTTAAAAAGAGATTTTTTTGGAAAACAACAAAAATCATTTGTTTATGTGAATGAAGAGTTTGAAATTATTTTACCGATAAATATAACTCGCAAAATGTCTTCAGTACCACAGAATATCCATTTTTTTAAAGGAAAGCCTGAAAGTCGATGCATATTTTATGTGCACATATATATGTACGCATAAGTTAAATATTCCTTTACATGAATGAATGTCATTCATTTTCTACAGTTTCTAAATAAATGAGGAAAAGACAGAGTAAGATGGCTTAGATTCGATAAGCTTTACTCAGTATTGTTTTATATATGTGGTGGTCAGGAGTTTAATGCAAGACAAATGTTTACTTCTTGTTTGAAATTCACTATCTGAATGTAACTGCATCCCACTTAGTGACAACATTTGATTGAAACCTCGAAATGAGCATCATCTGCTTCAAACGTCTCACTGTTCTTCATTAGGCTACGTTTGTGGCAATGCACATTAGAGAATTATTGGTTACAGGATTTCATCATGAGCTGACATCGGTTAGAGAAGCATTCGAAAACCTGGGAGTACCGGACAGCTGTTTCATCTTAGTCTGGATCCCTTCATCAGGTCGCGTACTTCTCAAGATTCCTAAACTAGGACGAAACAGCTGTCCAGTACACCCAGGTTTCCCAGTGATTCTATAACCGATACCAGCTCATGATGAAATTCTGTAACCAATCAGCCAAATCCCTACAAACCAATACTTGAATATTAGACATTTTGTTATAGTAAGAAAACGGTTAGGGAGAACAGAATTTTCAAAAATAAGAGTTAATCAAGTCGTTCATATAGGCATAAAGTAAATATTTGAATTTCGAGGGTGAAGGAAGGTTGTCTAAACTACCATAGATTGAAAAACTGATAATGAATGTATAGTAAGTCTAGTTCATGGTAGTACTGAAACCTAATTCCCACTAACATTAACACCATGCATGTTTACTTACACATGTACTATACAAAACTGTGGGCGATATTAAGCAATATTCTTTGAAGGGAAACATTTCAGTCCACTTTTTCAATGGTAGTATTATCTACTTCATACTTCACATTATTGAAATCGACAATCTTAATCATTTCTCTCTTATAAATAGAGATTTTCACCAAGCTCGATGAAATATAATATATCAGAAAGGTACAGAAACTACAATATGATTGAATAAACGCAAAACACAAATAATTCTCTGCATGAGATAGCCTTAAACTTTACCTGAGTGAGTAGGACATTTTATTCTTCTGTCAGTATCTACAATTTAATGAAAAGAATATATTTACTCTAATGAAATTTGTCTTCATTTATTTTGCAATCACGAAATGAATCTTAACTCTTTGAGTTTATCCTTCAATTTGCAAATAATATGGAAGATATATTGCTTAAAAAGGAAGATGAGAATAGTTTGATTTTCTCTATGTTATGAAGTTAGGTTAGTGTTGAAGGTGCCAACCAACAGAGGCGATGAAACTTTCACTGTCAAGTACCATAGGCCGTTGGACATCAAAATCTTTCTTTCATTCTTTCATCATAAATTAGCAATTTTAGTAGGTTCTTCGGAGATCTGTTTTCAAGTATCTTAAGATTTCATGTACACTTATTTCTGTAACGAAAAGGTTTGTAACGTTTCTCTGTCTTTTTGTATTTGAGATCAAACTATGGGCTGAAAGAGAATGTAGTGTTGTTACAGAATATCAAAATCAAAACATACTCAAAGACTGAAACAGTCTTTCTGAAAACGTTTTATTAACGACTAATTAATTTGTCTCCTAAACAAATGGATTATACTCCAGAATGTGGGGAGCTAGGAGACAGTAAGACTCTAGATCTGGATTTTGTGGAGGAATAATGTCTAGCGTCGCACAAACTGGAAGAATAACAGGAGAAAGTCAACAAACTACCAGAAGAAGCAGCGAAGAGAGAACTTCAGGTGAACATGGGGAAGAGTGAGACGATGAAGACAACCAACTAACAGCCACAACAAGCACCGATCACTGTCAGTGGAAGAAATTTGAAAGATATCAGTTCCTTGCTTCACTTATCTAGGCTGCATCGTTTTAATTGCAGCCAGCTGGAAGGGATGAGGATGTCAAAGTCAGCCATAATCGGAAAGGTGAGACAGACCTCCAACACTCGGAAGTCAGTTTGGAAATCTTCTTTACTCAGCATCAAGAACAACATTCAGATTTTCAACATCAACTTAAAGTCAGTCCATCTATTTAGTTCAGATACTTGGCGAGGGCGTCAAAAAAAGTATTCCTGACAGACTAGTTCATATACAATTGGTGGATGGTGGCTAGCAGTGGAATCCAGGATGCGCATTTCGTCCTATTTGGGACTCGTCATCTGGATGTACCTGCATTTCTCAGTGAGTGATGATGTTCCCACCGAGGCTCGAACCCAGTGCCCATAGTTTCAAACGCCAAAGCGTTATCCACTAGACCACTTTGGCCACGAGAGCCACCTCTTGTGCAACGGGTCATATTAATTATTGAATTGAATTTTTGATTTCCCTGTCGATTGATTGGACCGAAGTGCTCGGTCTCAGGTTGACATGTCGGCTTCTTGTGCAGATGCTTCGACGATGTCTGGGTATTCAATTAGTAAACAATTGGTGGATGGTGGCTAGCAGTGTAATCCAGGATGCGCATTTCGTCCTATTTGCCGACATGTCAACCTGAGACCGAGCACTTCGGTCCAATCAATCGACGGGAAAATCAAAAATTCAATTCAATAAGACTAGTTCATATTTTAATCAACTACTACCTTTGCTAGCACCACACCGAATATCAAATGGTTGGTCATGAAGAATTAACAAAAATAAGCTGTGGGAACGAACAAACCAACAACCTATTGCTCAACAAATAATCCCGAAGAAAACAGAGACGAACTGTACGCAAACACTGGAGAGACCGTTTGGTGATATCACTAAGGCCCTCGAGTGGAAGCTGAATGAGAAACGACGAGTTGAGTGTCAGGCATTGACATAGAGAAGATCTTGTGAGGAGGAGATTAGAGCTTATCGGTGGTTGTGAGGAAAACTGGAAGGTACTGCTGGGAAGAGGAGAAAATGGAGATATTCTGTTAAGCCTTATGTTTTACTCAGAACCTAAAGGAATGAAAATATTTACGTAATAAATAAATATCTGTAAACAAATGCATTCCTTAATGATTACGGGATATTGAAGAGGTAGGAGACCAAAGAATTTGGTTCAACTGAAGTTTGGACCAACACATTTAAACACATTTGGACCAACATTATTTAAACGATAATCGCCAGTAGATGTTCATACAAATACATACACTAGTAGAATTCTGACGAATGCTACGCGAATTCAAAACTGGTTTTATTCAATAATCCTCGCTTTCTTGATTACTACTTATGTTATGAAACAGTTCACATTCCGTGATCTGAATAATTTTGGTTTTCATGAGAAAATGTGGTGAAATAATCACTCCAAATTTTGTAAGCTGGAAATTAGTTTGCTAATTGTGGGCTTCACTCATGGAACTGCCAGCTAGCAAAAGCAGCTAGCAAGATGTTGTGTGGTTTGAAATGATTTGTCTCCCTGAGCTGAGTCAAACTGGGTACACCGCTAGTGAGCTCGGCCCTAAACAAGCGAAACGACTATTGAGTGATTAGATCACTTTGTTCTGGCTATGAAGCACTACTGGTTGAAATAAGTAGTATACAACTACTCATCTCAATAAATCAGTAGTATATAGTTGTGTGCAGTGTGCAATTCTGTTAATCAGAGCATGTGAATACTCAGTAAAAATTTCTATATAGTTTTCAAATCACCTAATTACCTATGCTGGGTCATCACACATGATGTCGCACTATGCCACTTACCTGTCTTAGACAGATCAATCAAGGCACACCACTGATAGTCTCCAACGTGCGATAAGTCTGTTCTTGTGTCAATGATACTTTCATCGCCATTAATTTGTACAGGTAATTTAGTTCGTTAGTTATCTGGCTTGTCCAGTTAGACAGTTCTCCTATTTTATTCCAGTCATACCCAGGACAGGCAGTTACTAGTGCTTAAAAATGAGCACATAGACATACTTATAAGCCAGCTGTTAGTAACTGTTCGTCTAACTGTCTATCTGTCTGTCTGATTGAAAACGCGACATTATGTTATAGGGGAGTCTGTAAAATATCAGACGGTTGCCATTCTTTTCATCTTCAGTTGGAAACCTTCACTTTGATATTTATCTCCTATATATATATATATATATATATATATATATATATATATATATATATATATACGTCTTGAATCTATTTGTTAAACATTTGTTGAAGTAAAGCTTTTAATTTTAGGAAATGTATTTCACAAATAAGTGTTTTCTCTCAACTTACATGTTGAATAATCCATGTAGACTTCATTACGTAAACTGCTATTCTGTAGAGATTTAATGACAACTCCAATTTTATACATTTTATTTAAATCGAGTGTATCAAATTCATAATAGTTCATTTCTGTTGGAAATTCGCATCGTTTTCCATTATCTTCGAAGAAGGCAAACATTTTATACGGACATAAAATCTCCTTGTTTTTGTCCACTGTCCAATTTAAACGAATTATTCGATTATTTGAATTCGGTAATAATTGTAAACTTAAATTTTGTGCATTTGGAATGTATTCAGCTGTAAGTGTTTATTGATAGATAGTGAAAGAGTAAAGAAGTCAAATGTTTTACGCTTATATGATAGTTTCTTTGCTACATATTTAATTTTAAAAATTAACGTCTATCCCGAACAGTTGTCTGTCAATAAACTATTTGTCTTATATTCACTCACGATAATACTCAGATGACTGGATGCTTGTCCGTTTTTTACACTGTGATACATAACTGTTGAAAAGTTCTACAATGCGAAGAAAGAATTATTCTGTATTCTTAATTTTAAATTGCTTTTATAGGTGATGTCATTTTGAGATATGAGGAAAGGTAAATTTCCCAGAGTGTTTTCTTTTCAACTATCTCACCAGTCATACGAGTGTGTACCACTTATTCACAAGGCACTCAAAGCAGTTTACAGTAAGTAGTTGAAGCAAATCAGGGAGTTAGTCATTAAACTTATATCGTATGTCTCTCGACAACATGGTGGATTAATAGCCCAACCGTGGTTTGATGAAATTGTCCTGAGAACAGCTTTTTCTCTTCATTTCATTAAATTAAAAAAAAAACATCATTGAATATAATGTAGCAAGATATGAGAAAATAACAGAAATCATTAAAACTGCTGGTATTTCCATCTGCATTTTGTTATGACAGTGGGATTCCACAAACCAAAGTTTGTATTTATCTGTGCTCCTGATCTATATTCATCTAAATTATTTAATCCTTACGTAAATACTTTGTCAGTTTCACACGTCTGTTCAATTCACAATTTTCATTCTTATCACTAGAATATTCTTGTGATTATTTCTGTATATGCGCTAATGAGGCTAACAACAACTTTTATTCATTTCCATTAGGCTATTTAATCATATGATGTTAATATCTTCCACCTTTATGGTGGTCAATAAATATGACTCATCATAGGAAATAATTCTATGAAATTAATATTAAAGTTGCATACAGCCAAAAACAACCGACGAAATGAAAGGATGTCATGGTTATCGTCTTCAGTTTGTTGTTCTTGCTTTGTTCAAGTTCTCTGAGAGAAATAATAGCATGACATCGAAAGTCTTACTTAGTCTGACAGTCATCTTACTCCCATCACGTATATAACTAAATCTACGGCTGTGAAATCAGGTTATGAAAAGAACATTCGTTGCTTACTTATTTTTCCTTTTTTCCTTCACGTTCCCCAGTGGGATATAGGGCTTCAAGCTAGTGACTTGAAGTTTCTGTAGCAGTGTTTATTTTAACATGATGAGGTTGCTAGCCTCATGCCCAACTTTTTCTCTTTACCAGGATTATTTCTGGCTGATGGAGGTAAAGCAGTGCGTCCAGTGGCCGGGGATCGAACCCCGGACCATGTGCATGGTCAGCCAGAGTCCTAACCGCTATGCCACCGACGCATGTTGCTTACTTATACTGTTTCAAATTCGTTTAGTCTTTTTATTCTTGAATAAAATTTTATAATATAATGATTACTATTACTATGATTATTCTCACTTTGTTTATGAATTGTTTCCGCTTTTGTTTTACTTTTTTCACGTGTAATAAATAATTTAATGAGTTCGCCTTGTTGATGTAATTTCTGACTTTTTGAAGAAAGGAAATTATCACTAAGCCCACTTCAGTAATGTCACTAATTCTAATCTAGCTAAGTGAACTTCTCATTCTAGAATTCATTCACTAATTAGTATTTCTAAAAATACTTCTGGTAATGTTATATCGATTTACTAGCCAGTGATAAACTTATTAATTGGATGTGTAACTTTTGAAAAAAAAGAAAAGATATGTAAGCGATTGAAACAAAAGTATACTTTTGCGTCTAAACATCTGTTATCGTTTTCATAAACCAACGGATATCTTTCTAATATAACTTACGTCTTATTTCAAAGGGAGCATCTACGGTTACTTGGAATGGTAACTCAATGAAAACATAAATCAAGTATGTTAACTGACTTGGACAAGTGCTAAGAGGTATTTCAATAACACCAGTGCCAGTGGAATTGAATGTTAAACCTGTATCCGTGTGAACAGTTATGAATTGTACACTGCCATGCGACCATAGCGATTCAGCTCTTATAATCAGATTGCTTCCATTTATTTCTATTCCAAAGCCTTGAAGAAACAAAATTACAGATTGTATTGTTGGGTGTTGATTGTTCATTGCCGTCATTTGAAGAGATGAGAGGAAAGGAAGAGAAAAAGATTGGGTGGTTAGTGTTTCTTCAGATTATTTATAAACTTATCACAAAATACAAATTTTAAAATTAAAATATATTTTAAAAGGATGTGACAATAGAAATGTTAACAGCTACTATTTTATTTGCATGCAAAAAAATTCCAACTGAATATGAAGTAAAAACTACATTGCTGAAGTCCACCTATTAATTAATTTTGTATTTATATTTTATTGACATTATTATTGATTTAAATGTTTCTGTTAACTGGCTCTCCCCTCTAATCTGTAGTTCAAAGGGAAAATTAGATGCAGTGTTGTATTACATGCTGAGAATTCCACAACTCATCAAATGTACTTTTTGGAATGAAGCCATTACTATTATTTCTATTCGACTGTAAAGTTGATAAGTTGTTGGCAGAAGCTAAAATTCATGGGCCATTAGATCTGGTCCCAATGGCTTATTGGTCTACAAGCTAGCTAGCTCGTCTTGTAATCAGGAGGTGCTATGTTTGAACCCCGGTGGGTGCATACTGATGAACAGTCCCAAACTAGAATGAAACAGCTTTCCAATGGTTCTCTAACCGATATCAGCTCATCCTGAAATCCTATAACCAATAAATCAGATCCCTATAAAGCCAACACTTGAAAATATTAATTATAACTTAATAAACTCCAGGGTCACAGTATTGTTTGAGTAGGATTGAATTCCTAGTTTCATGTAAGTTAATTATCAGAGAATAATCAATTCTCCAGTGCCTCATACTTTCTATGAATGATATTTACGTCGTGATCAATAAACCAGGAAACTTATCGTCGTGATGCACTTCAGATTGATGTTAGATAGTCGAGAGAAATCATTAGACAATCTTGAATCTGGTTTCTGTGTTTGTTGGAAGTGGTCAACAGGGTAAACCTTTGACCAAGTGGCTTACAATTAACATCTATAACCATAGCAGTGCGTGGAGTTAGTTCGAATATCAATATTCACACCCGTTTCCTTGAGGTTGCACATGCTCCTTGTTGACAAATACTAACAAACATGAAACCTAGGACTACTGCTACCTACTAACTGCTATCACCACTTTGCTTCAATACTTGTTCTCGTATTCATATCTTCTAGTTCGTGTAGACTGTACACGAAAAGTGTTTTTTAGCCGACCATGAAATCTTCATATTCACGAATTACTATTCTAGCATGCTTTTCTCAATACAAAGTGACTTTTGGAAAAATTTCAAGAAAGAATATTTGATATTAAAACATAGAGTCGTATTTTAAACGATCTTAAAAGCTTTTCAAATGTCTGATATAGACGTTCACCTAACTTAAACAACCACAAATTCAATGTTATACCTGTCAATCCATCGAAAAAGGACTCACTGAATGACTGCATAGCAGAGTCTATGTGAGGTACTTAAATCTAAATGGAACACAATACTGGATGAAAACTTAATAATTCTGAGTTCATTTAAAATTTTTTTTCAAATGTATAGTTTTGACGTATTCAGTTAGCCTAGACAAGAATTTTGTAACGAATCGATATCTGCTAAAAATCTCTTTAAAAACCAGGGAGCATTTCGTAGTTGCTTCGTCATAGTTTAAGACTGTTAATCGGTGTGGTATAAAGAGAACAAGTTTTCATTTGAACACATCAGCAACTGAAAATCTGTCCATTTTGCATTAGCTGCTCAATTTTGGGTTGAGTTCACAGACCTCTGGTGAGAAATCATGAGGACTGATACTCATGAGTGGTGTTGGATAGCAGCATCTTCGTGTCGTAAGTAAACAGGGGTTAGAATTCATAGGTACCTGAATAGCAAAATACACATCTGTTATTTAGGAAGTCATGAATTCTAGTCTTTGTTTACTACTGTGGATTTCCAAAGTGAGACAAAACACCTTTCCCCTGGTCACCTAAAGTCTGACTTTGGTTGTGTATTCAAACCTCAATCAATACCTATGCAATAGCGTTCCAAACTGCTAGATTCAAATGCTTACGATTCCCTTTTTCACACAAAAATGGAGACTTTATTCGATCGCCGTGTACAGATGGATGCTTAACCAATGGTCTTCAGGATTCATTCTTTTTAATCACTTGATTTCTTGCAATCAGAAAAAGCACTGAAGTCTCATATAGCTTAAAGAAAGGCTAATTATAAATAAGAATAAGTATGAACACAACTATCGTTAGTGTTATTTGTCTGACTGTTGTTAGTATTGTAATCCAGAACAGGTGTTTCAACTGGTCTCTGGCTATTTAGTTGGATGTATCCGCACATCATTAAGCAATGGTAACCTGACTGAAACTCGAATCCAGTATTCTTGGTTTTGAACTCCAGAGTAGTACCCACTAAGCTAGTGAAGGAAAAGTCACTTGTGGTGGAACATGGGTGGTTTAATATCAAAAAGATGTCAGGAGTATGAATAGATAATATCATGTGTGTTTCTAGACATTTCTGGAAAGATGTTTGATGTTCTTGGCCTAAGTAGGTCAGTTTGATCACATAAGTTGGATATGCTTTTTATGAACGCGAAAATTGGGTTTACTTTGATTCACTTGCATAGCTTAAGCCATATATAAGATTTGATAGCGTGAAATATTCCCATATTATGAATTAAAAGTCAATCTGAACGAAGAATATTCTTTTCAATAATTTCTCTTCAGGTTCTTACAATTATAAAATATAATATTTGTGGTCGTCACAATAAAGGCCAGTTATGCGGCCTATCGAATTTTCATTTATACGGACTTATTATTGGTGATATTATCTGTTTTCTTAATATATTCCTCCACCTGTTTCATTTAACATATTCGTTATCTCACTATGAACCTCTCATTCCAGTCTTACTATCTCCTGTGTAACTCGGACCATTTTGAACTAGCCACTCACCTGACACCTCTTATAACCTTGAACCGATTTGTCAATTTTCCTACCCCCTACTCTACAATAATATAATAATTTTTCCTTCACGTTCCCGGTGGAACATAGGGCTCCAAGCTAGTGGCTTGAAGTTTCTGTAGCAGTGTTTAATTTTTACAGGATGGGGTTGCTAGCCTCATGCCCAACCTTTCCTCTTTAGCAGGATTATTTCTGGCTCAGTGAGGTAAAGGAGTGCGCCGGCCGGGGGTCGAACCCCGGACCATATGCATGGTCGGCAAACGTCCTAACCGCTATACCACCATTGTCTCCCGTTTTACAATATTTCTAATCGATTTCAGCCTAGCACGTTTGTCACACAAATATGACTATTTATTTTGACACCCCATGACTAATCTGTTATTCTACGTTAAAAATGTATCCGCCGCATAACTGGCCTTTATTGTAACGACCACAAATATTGTATTTTATAATTTTGAAATAATAGAAAAGATCTGTAACTCAGGTGGATGATTTGCAATTAATAGTGTTCTCTGAGCTGGTTGGTCTAGTTGCAGAAAGACGACGAATGCTCCGCAACTGCACCAACCAGCTAAGAGAACACTATTAATTGCAAATATTTTATAATTGTAAGAACCTGAAGAGAAATTACTGAAAAGAATATTCTTCGTTCAGATTCACTATATATAAGAGATGCAATCAATAATTTTTTTTTGATTTACAGCTTGATTCCACACAGTATTTTTGGTACAAGTATGGAATTTTCAGCATGGATATCGGTAGCCCAAATTTTGCAGGCCGACCATAGTTATCAGGTGTGCGTCGGCGGGGGTTCGAACCTCGGACCATGTGCATGGTTGGCGAGAGTCCCAACCACTGTGGCACCGACGCGCCCTATTATGGTAACAGCTTCTGCTTCTGTCTGGTGCTCACCTTCTACCAAATGAAGCGAATGAGGAACACTTGTTGCCATATTTATTCTTTTTCTCAACCAAACTAACACTTGTTTATAAGCATGTAAGTATAAAGTCTTCCGAATTAGATCAATGTAATTAGCAGAATAGGAGCAGTTAAATTTCTAGACACATGGCGATATGTCAATCACTAGTTGGGATGGCGCTAAATCACGAATTGGTAGAAGTAAGAATTCATGAGCCATTGAATCGGGTCCCAGTGGCTGAATCTTATACGAGCTCGCCTTGTAACCGGAAAGTCCTGGGTTCGAATCCCAGCGGGTGCGTACTGCCGATGATACCCAAACTAGGATGAAACAGCATTTGTCCAGTACTTTCTGGTTTTCAGTGCTTCTGTAACAGATATCAATCCGTGATCAACTCGTAAAAAACTAACCCTTACAAACCAAACTATAGAAAAATTACCAGTAATTCAGCTTTACTTCTCTCTACCAGTTAAGATCTAGTTGGTAAGCTAATGTATAATTCTAGGCTTCTGATTTTCTTCCAATCTTCTAACTGCAATTTCAATTGAGTAATTCTTTCATATGGACCAGATAAATTATATCTTTTATCTCACTGAAATTCAAACAACCCATACACAAACAGGAGAAATAATAAACAGTTTTCAAACTGAAACTGACACTAAAAACTATAACAAAGTCCCTAGCCCTCATTGTATAACTACAGTAAATATAATTCAGATTGTTGCAGGCCATAACAAGGAAGTCTTGGATTTAAGTTTCATTTTTACTGATACTTGTCAGTAAGGTGTATCTGCAACCTCGAAGAAACAGATGTCCGACTGAAGATTCAATCCTGTGTCACCTAGACATTGTAATTATTACATCATAGCTGAAGTTTTTGTGATATCCTTGATAAGTGTAAAGTCAACGTTTTTCTTGTTAATTTTTTTTTCAAATTCATTCATTCGTCCTCTTCTTCAATTTTTGTATGCATTTTCGACGATAGTTATTTAACTGTGAGGTTATCACAGTTACCACCTGTCTCTACCATATACCATCAGGCGTTTTCAACGGATAAAAAAGGCTTGAAAACCTGTGATGGCCGAAAAATATCAAATTATACGTGCACCATAAAATAGTAAACATAATGAATTCACAGAAAATCATGGTTGTTACGTGAGAATGAATAAGGATACTACCTAGTTCCGCGCGCAATACAGACGAGACTTTTTCTCTCCTTCCACATCTGCCAACCAATTCTGCTTCGTAGCTGATCAGTACATCAACATTGGGGTCTTTTGCTCCAATCTACGTTTCTCTCCGCAAGTGCCCTCCGGCCGTTGGCATCTCTTACGTGTAGTGAGCATCTGTATACCCAAGGAAAGAACTGTTTCATCCCTACCATACTGTACGTCTATATTTGAGTATTTTGGGACTATTATAGCTTTTCAAACAACTGCATTTTATGTTTATATTAACTTATGTGGACTGAATACCCTCCAACATACATACATGTTAGTATTTGTTTTGCCTTTTTATTTTGCGTATAAACGAACTTAGCAGTTTAGTCAACTACAAACCTTTTCTATCTAATCTGAATTATTTAACAGAGAAAAGCTTTCAAACTCAGAGAGTATTCGTCTCAGCTTTATAGACTCACTAAACTGCGTTTCTGGTTTAGATAGGTCTGTAGACAACTTGGATTGAAAAGGTGTACTGTATCTCGATGCTTAGGCAACCTCTGATAGTCAAATGATTTTTATGCTTATACGATCAAGAATTATTGCTTAGATTACTTCATGAAAAGCTAATAACAACAAGGGGGAAAAGAGCTTTCCATTGGAAAAAAGAGACACATTTTAACTGCTCAGATTCTCGTTTTTTAGACTGTCTCTCTATATCGGGATATGTATTATGCTTATTGCTTTAAAAGTGATTTAAGGTAGTAAAAAACATATTCGCTTTGTTTTATATGTATTAGAATATTTGAATATCCTGAAATATATTCTAACACTTTACTGGTGAAACTGTACACAGTCCACAATGATAGAGATTTGAAAGGACTTCATAAAAATAGCGTTATTTATTGTATGACACTGTGTGATTTATGAAAATAAAATCTTATCTATAATGGAGTTATACTCTACCACAGTGCCCAAGTTTTATACTTATATTTATTGTACTAATCAAACAGAAGTACAGAGGTACACACTGTATGTTTATCAAGTGACTAGCTGTTGCTACGATCAGCCTAACTGTTGTTGAATGCCCTTGAAACTTTGCTGACGTCCATCCATAGTTTAAATTTTGACTTTAAATTACTTCTTGATTACATTGTAGCACTGTAAATACAGTTAACCTTTGAAACATGTAACAGGGTAGTTACATTAACATACTACATTACATAATTTAATCCAAGAAATATAACAGTCTTTGTAATTCAAGAATTATTCATGTAATACTTTCTGTTCTAAACAATTTTACTTAATATCGAGTTGTATACGTTTTAATTTGTACAGAAAACAACTAGAAAGTATATTATGTATATAGGTATATAATCACAGGATATCTTATTTTAAAAACTCTAAAATAACTTGAAGTTTATTTTTTTTAAAGTAAAAACAACGGGAATTTTACGATAATTGACTATAACATGCTTTAAACTTACTCAGATTAATTTCACACGTAAGGAAAATTGATAACACAAGATAGAAGTGACGAGTAAACATTTCTGATTTATTTATGTCTCTCTACAAATTCATACTGAAACTGATCTCACAGAGTACATATAAGTGTGTGTATATATATGTGGCTGGTATTTCAATGAAGTGTCATTAGGTTGCTTTGTGTTCATTTTGTAGAGTTTACAGATCGATGACATTGTCTGGTGGCTCATTTCATTTTTGATATTGACGTGTGTGAAGTTTACAGAGAGTAAAGGATGAAAAGAAGAGAAAAAAAGACTGTTCATTGTCTAGTATTTTGATTAATTAACATACTTTTCATGGACTTGTTGTAGTCGCAAGTTATTTGTCTATACTTGAGCAATGTGTGTGTGTTTTTTTTTTTTGGGGGGGGTCTAATTGTGTAAGTTATTGAGAATCTGTTCGGTTGAACCAGACTATGTATTTTTTGAAATATATATTTTGGTGAGAAAAAGAGGTGAACAGACCTTTAAGAAATTGTGTAGTTACTAGTATTTCATTGGCTTAGTGAGATTTCCGCAAATAGTCTACAGTATAATGTAACACTATGGTTAAATTTGAAAGAAGTTCCATGGTGAATTTAAATGTGAATTACAATACTTATCCTGTTCTGTTACAACTTTGTAGCAAATGCATATCACATAAAATATCAATACTGATTCTTATTTGTATATTTTTCAATCAGAGATATAAAAGTAACACTTTAGATCATATCTCGATTAGAATAATGAGGTTTCACTCTTTCCTATGAAAGAAAGCATATTCAGTGTAGAAGCCTTATTAATATCTTCTTTAATTCCCTTAAGTGAAAGTGTATATGATTTACCGATATGGAGTTAACCGTTGTTCACTTTTTATTTGATAACCGGAAAGAAAATAGCAGTTAATCCATTATAATGAAGAGCATAATTAAACTGTGTAACATACATCAGTTCCCGTATTGGCCAATCACTTGATTGTTAAAGCCTCAACTACTCACTTTTAATTATAACAAAACTAATTCATCTTCACTAATTGACTATGTATCAGCCGAAATCTACAGCACAAAACATATACTTTATTAATATGAGTTAAATGAATTAACTGCTGCCCATCCATTTCACATTAGGAAAAAATTACTTATGAGTAACGTATCTGAGTTTCATAATTTATCCAATAAGTCACATAGAGATCATTACAAGTGTGACTTTGTAGAGTGACTAATATTTTTGAAGACAGTTTGTCTTTAAAATGTATCTATGATGCATGATCGAAAACTCTGCAGACTCTTGAGACCTTGGATTTGTCAACAGGTGCATATATATATATATATATTCACGAAGGAATACTGATAGAAAGATGAGAAAGTCAATTTTTGTAAAGGAAAAGAAGCAAACATTTTGAAATGAATTGAATTCATTTCATAAGGCATGCTTTGTTTTTTTCAAAAATTCGCATCAACTTGAAAATCCCTGCATAGTTTGCTAATTATTTCTTTTATTCATTTGTGTTTTGAGTGGAACATAGATAGGGCTTCAAGCGTTGAAGTGTCTTTAGCGCTAGTGTTGTTTTTAAGGGATTGGTTCTCTGGACTCACGAACACTCTTCCATTTTCCGGGTTTACAACTGCCTGGGCGATGTTTAGGAGTGCATCATCTGGAAAACGGATCTGGAACTCCTACGTGACTGCTGCCCATTCTACCAGTGAGTCACCGCTCCCTTAGAATGTCATTGCGAAATTTTAATATGCTGACATAACTCAGAAGTAGAATCAACAAGAAATAAGTTCTTCAAATTTATATATCATTATATGAGGAAATGAAAACGACACCAATCGTGACGTCGCTGATAATTAGTACTGGGAAAAATTACAAATTTTTAGAACAGTGAGAAATCACTGTGTAAACTCATTCAAGAAAATAATAAAATATTCCAAATAATAATGAGACGGAGTCTGACAGATCGCTACTGCTTTAGCATAAAGTAGCAATTTACTATTACTTCGTCTGCTTATCATACAAAAATTCGTTTGAATCGGTGACATAACTTGTCTAACGGCACTACTGCTAGGTAACCAGACTTTTCGACACTTCCAGAGATTCTCTTGTAAGTGAAAAACACAGTTTACCACGAAGTGTCACACTACTGCACGACTATATTGTATAAAAGTTGTGAAGTAAGAACAGATTTCAATATTGCGTATTCATACAGTTTACACAAAGATGAATGAACCAAAAGTATGGTCATTACAAAACCCGTACGATAAGAATCATTGTCGACAAGTTAAGTAACTATAGTACGTTATAAAGCCTACGTTACTGGAGACTCCTCTCGAACTAGAAGAAACTAATAATAACGTAATGTTATTATTTATTCATGTTGGCATCTCTTTTTACGGTGGACACTATTAAATTTTGGTTATATGGCGGATACATGGAATAAAAATGCCAGCTATTCCACAGATAGTAACGGAAATCGGCACTTCCAGTGCTACTCACCTACCAATAATATGTATCAAGAGAAGAAAAGGAACTTCTGAATGCAACTACGTGCAGTAATGGATAAGCTACCAACGATACAGCGACGTCAGAATTCTGAAGAGTCATACAAATGCCAGAGAAACTGGGGGCAGACAACATAGAAAGTGAACTTATCATGGATCCAGAAGCGCCAGGTGAAACTCATGAGAATGAAGAACTATTTGTAGATTTCTGCGCCTTTAGCTATTTGATGAATGGAGGCATCATTTATGAGCAAAACGATATCATCAAGACGACATAGGTTTCACCACATCAGCATACAGGAAATCAGATAGACTTTATCCCAATCTCAAGATAATAGAGACGTTACCCACAGAACACATGATCGAAAAGAGGAGCAGATGTAGTTGTTAACCATAACAAACAGACTTTATGACAGCTCACTATTCAATATGACCTGATTATCATGTGATAATGCTGGTAAAGAGGAAAGGTTGGGCATGAGGCTAGCAACCCCATCCTGTAAAATAAACACTGCTACAGAAACTTCGAACCACTAGCTTGAAGCCCTATGTTCCACTGGAGAACGTGAAGGAAAAAAAATGGTTAATTTAATGTAAACGCCCACCATTTGAGATTGATGTTAGATGAGTTTTGTATCTATCTTCTTATATGTATGTAAATGTAATTCATCAACCATTTTGTTCCGCATATCAATGCTGTTCTGTATGTGTTTGCCCTTCCTTGAAGGACAGTTACCTTTTTATTGTTATCCTTGTGTAACTGTATTATTTCCCCCATATTTTGGAAACAGATAACGTTTACGTTAAGTCACCTGAGTTTTGACTATAGTAAGGCCTAGACTCTGTATCGTCAGTACTGATAATGAAGACCGAAATCTGTGAGTGAATTTAATCCCACAAAGTTTTGAACAGTATGTCATCACATGGAAAGTACGACCCTATGTTAAGGTTATCTCCACAGTCAGAAAGGAGTGAAGAAGCTAGTACACATACATATATGCTGGAAAGTATCTCTGTGCAATCATGCGAGTTAGGTGTATAATCTAGATGTATTAATCAAAGGATTTCTTCCACCACTGAATACATAGTCAGTATAAAGGTTCAAGAATTTGATTTGTTCTAACAGGAATCACGGATATTTATGGTTTGGAGTCATTATGGATAAAACATCACTCTATTCTTTCCAGAAAGCTAGACTAGTTGGTGGGGTATAAATACTGTCCAAAAATGTATATCTATCCATGTGAGATTGTGGTAAGTTTCGCTCTGATTTTCTTACATTCTCTTCTGGTAGGTTTCATTTCACCTAATGTGTCAGGTAGACATTACACAAATAAAATTTCTTGTTTGATTGAGGGCTTTCTTCTCAACTGCTGCCTTTTTATCTGAATTTATAAGTAGAGGCAAAACGGACAACATGTGTAGCCACCAAGCTAATAAATTAAATGAGTCTATGATTTCTGGAGTTCTTACATAGGAATCGGTACTAATATTATCTGCAAAGTCTTTTATTTTGTCATTAAGTATATTTCCAAAGGAGACTAGTTTGCTTGCTCGCTGCATTCCCGTCGGTAGTTTGTTCCATATCTGGGCATATTTAATCAAGCAGAAATTCTGCACGGTGGCTGACTCACATTATACAATCATCACTTTACCTTAAGTGGTCTTCGGTCATAACCTCTGTTATCCGGAAGTCGAGTGTCATTAGAAAAGGCAAAAGCTAAATTGTTTGGAAGAATATAGAAGAGTAATAAGTTAAATCACAGGTGTCTTAACCATACTGTTTCTAGCTCTACATTTTCACATCTGTGCGTCGGTGGCACAGTGGTTAGGACTCTCGCCGACCATGCACATGGTCCGGGGTTCGAGCTCACGCCGGCGCACACCTGATATCTATGGTCGGCCTGCAAAATTTGGGCTACCGATATCCATGCTGAAAATTCCATACTTGTACCAAAAATACAGTGTGGAGTCAAGCTGTAAATCAAAAATAAAAAAAAATCTTGTAAAGTACTTTGTGCCGTTTTCGTCTCCGAGTATTTTCATTGTGAATTATCTATGCACTTCTTCTTCTTTCAGTGGGTCCTTCTAAATATGAGTCAACAATAATGATAGCCAATTCATATAAACTAGGCATTTATATATGGGCACAAAGAAACCTTGCATAGAAGAACTCTTGATTCACTTCTGTAGAAGTTCCTGAGTAGAAAGCCAATAAGTTTGCGTGATTTTAATACTACTTTGGAGATATGTTCTGCACATGGCAAGTCATGTGAATATTTCAGTCCTAGGTCTGGTGTAGAATTCACCCTGGGAAGTACATTGCCTTGAATTACTAGGCCAAGTCCCAGGTTGAAACAACATATGAAGAGCCGGCCAAATTTTTCAACAATAATTTCGAGTCACCAGGTGTGACACTATCTATTCATTTTTACCAAATCTTCCAGTATACCGTTTACAGTTCTACCGAGATCTATATTCCTGTTTAGAAAACAGAAAGATTGAGCGAAGAAATATTTACTTTTCAATTAGATCCTCATCTCACTCTGGCTCTACTCTAATATATATAGGATTTTAATTACAATACAACAGTTTGCCAATCAAGTGGCGATAAGTTTGTTAACAATAATTAAACAGTGTCAATGGGTTAATAGATAACGAAGAAAATCAATACAGATTTAAAAGGTGAAAATGGATAGAATAAATTAATTTTACAAGAATAACAAACTTATCGCCACTTGATTGGCAAACTGTTGTATTGTAATTAAAATG